AGCGCTGAGACGGGGAGAGGAGCCGGCCATGCAGAAAGTGTCCGGGCAGGCGGGAGCGGTGGCTACGTCTCCAATCCTAGCACTCTGGGGGGCCAAGGCGGAGGGATCGCTCGAGGTCAGGAGTTCAAAACCAGCCTGAGCAAGAGCGAGACCCGTCTCTACTAGAAATAGAAGAAATTAATTGTGCTAACTAAAAATATATAGAAAAAATTAGCCGGGCATGGTGGCGCATGCCTGTAGTCCCAGCTACTCGGGAGGCTGAGGCAGGAGGATCGCTTGAGGGCTGGCCGCGGCCACCCTTTGCCCTGCTACCTCCTTTGTTTCCCTTTCCCAACGTTGGTGTTTGAAGTTATCTTGTTCACTTAATTGTGTCCTGTTTACTCTCTGCCTCCTCCACCAGACCAGAGGCCCCTGAGGGCAGGGATTTTGTGTGGCCTGGTCCCCACTGTGTCCCCAGGGTTCAGCACAGGGGCAGGCACACAGTAGGTGCTCAAGAAATGTTTGTTGAGTGAATGAACGGCCAGATACGGGTGTTTGAGCCCGGGGTCTGGGGACTCCGGGGGGCCTTCGAAGGGAGGCCTCCCAGCAGGGTGGCACTGGGCATGGGGAGAAGTCTATAAGGGACTTGCGAAGAGGGCTGGGCAGGGTTAGGGCCACACACCAGCTGGCAGCAACTTCTTGGTGCCTCAGTTTCCTAGACTGTCTCCTGTTCTCAGATATGGGATGTGGGCTGCAGCGTCAGACCTGGGCGGGGTCCCAGAGTGTCCTGTGGCTGTCGGTGTGATGCTGCTTCTGACTTCCCTGGGCTGTCATGAGAAGAGGAAGCATTAATTCAGCACCTACTGTATGAGACTTGTCCTTCCATCGTGGCTTCCATAGTGAACACGTACTGTCCCCTTTCTGTGTCTTCCATTCTATTATGTTTTCTTTCTTTCTTTTTTTTTTTTTCTAAAGGCAATTAAGCAGCATCTATTATGTTTTCAAACAGAGGCCTGGAAGCCAGCCTGATACTCCGGCTGCCCTTTGTAGGCGCCTCGTTTGCATAATCCTCGCATTTCCTCCCGTGTTACAGTTGAGGAGCCTGAGGCTGGGGGCCGTTCAGTCAGGTGTCCGATCCCTGAGTGTAACCCAGGGCTGGTGGCTTTTCCCATCAGCCCTGGGCAGAGCATGTCACATGGCCCTGGCGCCATCTGCCAGACACAGCTGTGCGGGTCCGGGCTGGGAGGTGTTGGGACCCCAAGGAGCCCCAGGCCGGGGGAAGGCAGAGCCCGACACCCGCGAGAGAGGGTGCTGGGGATGGGGGGCGGTGACCAATCCTGGGAGGCTGGTTGCAAGTCGCGGGGCCGGGGAGGGCGTGGTGGCACGAGCCGGGGGGCCGCTGGGCGGGTCCCGAGTGCGGTGCGGCACTCGCTAGTGCTTAGCGCCCGGGGAGACGAAAAGGCGGGAGGGATCCGATTTAGGTTTGGACCAAAGAGAGCCAAGATCCCCGGCTCCAGGTTAAGTCGCGGCCAAACGCCGCCGCGCCCGTGGGACGCCGCGGCCTGGCCAACGCCCGGCCATCTGGTCCGGCCCGGAACGCCCGCCTTCCCGCGGCCCTGGCAACGCCCCGCCCCTCTTCCCGTGGCCCTGGCAGCACCTGCCCCCCCCTCTCCTCAGCGTCCCTGGGTAACGCCCCGCTTCTCTCTTCCTCTCCGCAAGCCATGGTTTATATATATAATTATCTCTCTCTTCTCGCCCCGTCTCCCCGCTTTGTGCATTCTGGGCAAGGCCCCCGCCCTCTTTCTTGGTCGTGTGTTCACGGCTGTCGTCCTCTCTCTCTCTTCTCTCTCCCCGCGGCCGTACGCCAAGCTGCTCTCTCGTCTCTCTTCTTCTGTTTCTCTGTTCTGCAGCCTATATTTGGCAACGGCCGCGCCCTTTCTCTCTCTCTCTCCTTTCTTCCATCCTCTTTGTGCACGGCCAACGCCCCGCCCCTCTCTCCTGCTCGCTCTGTTGGTCTTTCTCTGTTTTTGGTTGTCTCATTTTTTATTTCGGTGTTGGCTCTCCTCTGTTTTGCCCTCCGCACGGGCCACTTGTCAACGTGTGTCTCTCGTTTTTGCCTCTTCCAGCGCCCGTTTGTGTTTATGATCGTTCCTGTCTGCCCTTTCCTCAGGCATCGGCGCGTGGTAACGCCCCCTGCGCCCTGCTTTCCCCGGCTGCCATGTGTCAACGTCCCGCCCTCTCCCCGGCGGCGCACGCCAACGTCCCCGCCCCCTCTCTTCCTTTTTTGCTCGCTCGCAACGCCCGCCCCTCTCCCCGCGGCCACGCCAACGCCCCGCCCCGCTCCCCGCGGCCATGGCAACGCCCCGCCTACTCGCCCGCGCGCGGGCCCAACGGCCTGGCTTCCGCGCCGCTCGCCCCGCCCCCGGCAGGCCCCGCCCCCGCGCTCGCCTGCGCGGCGTTGGCGGCCGCGCTCGGGGCGCGCGCTCCGTGCTCGCGTCCCGCGCGGCGCCCCGCGCGCCGCCCGCCCCCCGCCCGGCTCGCGGGGCTCCGGGCCGAGCCGGCCGGGGGTTCGCGCCCCCGCGCCGCCGCCTGCGCCCCCGCTCCCGGGCCGCGCATGTCCGACCCGAGCTGCTGGGCGGCGGCGCCCGCGCGCCGGAGCCGCCTGGCCAAGGGCGCGCTGCTGCAGCGCTCCAAGAGGTAGGCCGGGCGCGCCGCAGCCGCGCGGGGTCGGAGCCGGGATTCGAACCCGCGGCCCCAGGGCTGCGCCCAGCCAGGCGAGCGCCGCTGGGAAACCGGAGGCTGCTGGGCTCCCGGCCGCGGCGTGGGAATGCCGGCGCGGAGAGCAAATATTTACCGCAGCAGGCTGGCGCGGGTGGAGTGTCGGGGTCCCCACAGCTGGGGTGAACCCGGGGCAAAGCCTGGCCTCCCCTGGGAGTCTCAGTTTCCCCTCCCGACCAGCGGAGGAGAGGCTGAGCCAGGAGGGCTGTGGATGGGACAGGGCCTGGGTTCGGATTTCAGCTCAGCCACGGCCGGCCAGGCTGTGTGACCTGAGGCAGTTCCCCAACCTCTCTGTGCTTGCTGGGTCTGCCATGGGCGCCGGGCTGGGGCATTCCGGAAGGGTCTGGGCGGTGGGGTCCGCTGCTGAAGGGCCTCGAATGCCGAGCGCAGGGCTTAGACACCCCCCCTCCAAGAATCTGGGGTGCCACAGCGTGCTCACGGGGACGGGGGGCAGGGAGCCGGCCCGGGGTCCCCGCTTTCTGCCGTGCTGTCCCCCTCTGCTGTGTCCCGGGCACCTTCTCCGGGTCCCCAGCCTCCCCAGGGAGGCCGAAGCTCGCAGCCGGGCCTGCAGAGCCCCTCAGGAAGTCAGCAGATGGCCCCAGTCCTCTGTGGGGTCCTCGCAGCTGGCTGTTCTCGCGGCCTCGCCCGGGAGGAGGGAGGCCCGGCAGGCCCAAATGCCGCTGGAGGAGGCGGCCGGTCCGCAGGTGGTCGCAGGGTGGTGGGGTGTTGGGGAGGTGGGGTGGGGTGCACGGGGCCAGGAGCCAGGTGAGGCCGGGAGGAAGTGGGGCCTGGCGGGGTGCGTGTGCCGGGGAGGCAGGAAGCCTCGCAGGAACCTGCGGGTTTCGCTTTTGCTTCTGCACCTCGGGGGCTGGGGCCCCGGCCCTGAGGCCGTGGGTGTCTGTGGCCTCAGTCTCCCCTCCTGGGGAGTGGATGCGGCCGGTCCCTTCCCCGCCTCGGAGGCTGCCGGGGATCGGTGGGCACGTGTCCGGGGACCGGCTCGCCGGGCGGCCCGGAGCTGGGCGCCCCGTGTGGGTTTCCTCCTTCCAGCTACACAGATGGGGAAACCGAGGCTGGAGGGCGGCCGCAGGTGGAGCCGTGGACAGGCTGGGACCCTCTTCCCTGCCCGCCTTGTCCCCAGAGCCACTTTGAGGATCACGCTCTCCCACGCCTTGGCCCGCACTGAACCCCGTTCTGCCTGGGGGACCCCACTGCCGTCTCTCGGGCGGGCCTGCCTCGCTGCCTGCCAGGCTGCGTTGGTGGCTGGCGTGTGGGCGCGACTGGGACAGCTGCTGCTGTTGCCGAGCAACTGCGCTGGGGGGGGGCGGCTCTGCTTCCCGGGCCCAGACGGGGGCTGGGCTGGCGGGTGGAAGAGGGGGTCCCGGTGGAAGAGGGGGGCCCCGCTTGGGAGAGAGGGGGTCCCGGGTGGAAGAGGGGGTCCCAGGTGGAAGAGGGGGTCCCAGGTGGAAGAGGGGGGCCCGGGTGGAAGAGGGGGTCCCAGGTGGAAGAGGGGGGCCCGGGTGGAGAAAGGGGTCTCTGGGGGAAAGAGGGGGGCCGGGAAGGGTTGGGAGAGGGGATCCCAGGTGGAGAGGGGGGTCGCCAGGTGAAGAGGGGTCCCCCAGGTGGAAGAGGGGTCCCGGGTGGAAGAAGGGGGTGCCGGGTGAAGAGGGGGGTGAAGACTGGGTGGGAGAGGGATCCCGGGTGGAGAGGGGAGTCCCAGGTGGAGAGGGGTCCCCAGGTGGAGAGGGGGTCCAGGTGAAAGAGGGGGTCGGGTGGAAGAGAGGGGCCCGGTGGAAGAGGGGGTCCCGGTGGAAGGGGGTCTCGGGTGGGAGAGGGGATCCCAGGTGGAGAGGGGGAGGTCCAGTGAAGAGGGGTCCCGGGGTGGAGAAAGGGTCCCCGGGTGGAAGAGGGGGTCTGGGTAGAGAGTGAGGAGTCCTGGGTGAGGGGTGCCGGTAAGAGGGGCCCGGTGGAAGGGGTCCCGGGGAAAGGGGGCCTGGGTAGGAGGGGGAGAGTCCTGTGGAAAGGGTCCGGGTGGAAGGGGGTCTGGGTAGGAGGGAGGAGTCCTGGGTGGAAGGGGGTCCGGGTGGAAAGAGGGGGTCCCGGGTGGAGGGGGTCCCGGTGGGAGATGGGGCGCCGGGTGGAAAGGGGTCCCGGGTGGGAGAGGGGGCCTCCGGGTGGAAGAGGGGTCCGGGGTGAGAGAGGGGTCCCGGGTGGGAGAGGTGGGTCCCGGGGTGGGAGGGGGCGTCCCGGGTGGAAGAGGGGTCCCGGTGGAAGAGGGGGTCCCCGGTAGGATGGGGGTCCTGGGTGAAGGGGGTCCCGGTTGGGAGAGGGGGTCCGGGTGGAAGAGGGGTCCCGGGTGGAGAGGGGGCGTCCCGGAGAAGAGGGTCCCGGTGGAAAGAGGGGGTCGGGGTAGATGGGGGGAGTCCTGGGTGAAGGGGGTCCGGGGAGAGGGGGCAACCGGGGGAGAGTGGGGGTCCAGGTGGAAGCGGGGGGCCTGCATGGAGAGGGGTCCGGGTGGAAGCGGGGGCCTGGGCGGGCGGGCGCGGGAGGAACGTGCGGCAGCGAGGGTGGGACACGGGCTGTGAAGCCCGCTTGCTTCGGTTGCGCGTGGGGACTGGCACTTTAGGTGGATTGGGGGACAGGAGGTGCTGAGATGTGGGCGGTGGCCTGCGGAAGGCCGTGTGGGACCCACGCGGTGGGAGTCTGGCTCGGCCCTCCGTGGGCTCCGGGGCGGCCATCTGCCCTCCACCTGGCCTGGGGGGGTCGGCCGCGGCCGGGCAGGCGAGGGCCGGGCTGTGGACAGACACCCCTGAGAAACAGCCGCCCAGTGTCCACATGAGGCCGGCAGCGTGTCCTGCCACCACGGTGACAACACTGGCAGTAGTTTGTTTTGTTTTTTTTTTTGAGACAGTCTCGCTCTGTTGCCCAGGCTAGAGTGAGTGCCGTGGCATCAGCCTCGCTCACAGCAACCTCCAACTCCTGGGCTCAAGCAATCCTCCTGCCTCAGCCTCCGAGTAGCTGGGATGACAGGCATGCGCCACCATGCCCGCTCATTTTTTCTTTTCTATATATTTTTTAGTTGGGCAATTAATTTCTTTGTATTTCTAGTAGAGACGGGGCCTCGCTCTTGCTCAGGCTGGTCTCAAACTCCTGAGCTCAGACGATCCTCCCGCCTCGGCCTCCCAGAGTGCCGGGATGACAGGCGTGAGCCACCACTCCCGGCGGCCGGTAGTTTTAATCATAAGCAACGAGCTTCAGGTGGTGGCTCTGCCCGGGGACCGAAGGCTGGGCTAGGCGGGGCTCTGGGGCACGGCGTGAGGCTGGTCACGGCCACGCTCCCCACCCTGTCCCCCCGCCCGGAGGGGGCCGCCCCAGCGCCCCGGGCCCCAGGCGCGCACAGGGTCCCCCCCTTCCACCCGTCTGATCTCGTCCCCTCCCGCTTGCTCGCAGCTGCCGCAGCGGGAACCGCAAGAGCTTGGTGGTAGGAACGCCCTCACCAACTCTCTCCCGGCCCCTGTCGCCGCTGTCTGTCCCCACGGGTGAGTGTGGGGGGAGCAGGTGGGCGCCGCGCCCCGTTTCTGCCCCTGCTGACTCAGTTTCCCCCCACCGCCTCTCCCTCAGCAGGCAGCAGCCCGTTGGACAGCCCCCGGAACTTCTCGGCAGCATGTGCCATCAACTTCCCCTTCGCCCGGAGGTGAGCAGGTGGTGGCCGCGGCTTTGGGGCGGGCGGGGGCATGCGCTTGGTGGCCGGCCATGGCTAATCACTGCCTCCCCTCCCCCCTGTCCCCTGCATGGCGGCGGCCTCTACCCCTGGCCTCCTCCCCCCCTCGCAAATGCATGGCCTCCTGCAGCCACGTGGCACGAGTGGACAGGTAATTTCCTCCCCCATCCCGGAGGGGGCGGGGGAGGACGGGGACGCCGCCCGTGTCCAAGCGTCACCAAAAACGTGGCTCACTCGCTTAGCAAGAAACTCACCGAGCACCTGTTGTGGGCCGGGCCGGGCGCTCCCATTGCCCTCACTCAGCGGACAGCATTTATTGAGCGCCTCTTGCATGCCGAGCCCTGTGCTGGGGGCGCGGCCGCCGGGGAGTCCTCAGCTTGGCGGGGGCAGCCCAGCGTGTCCCCCCAGCACCTGCCACTCAGAGCTTGGGGCGCTGACGGGAGGGCGGGGGACGCACTGGCGGCTGGGGCGAGGGGAGGCTTCCCGGAGGCTTCCCGGAGGAGGCGTCCGAGGAGGGCGGATGGAGAGAAAACAGGGGCGGAAGCCCCAGCGGTCAGGCTGCGCCCCCCGGGGTCATCTTATCGCAAGGTCCTTGCTCCGACGGGGCCTGGGGACCCCACAGACACAGGGCCGGGGCCTTCCTCCCACCTGCCCCCCTTCCCCTCCAGGGCGGACGGCAGAAGATGGTCCCTGGCGTCTCTCCCGTCTTCCGGCTACGGGACCAACACACCCAGCTCCACCCTCTCGGTACCTGCGGCCCTGCCCGGCGGGCGGACCAGACGGGCGGGCGGGCGCCGGTTGGGGCCGGGGCGCTCCTTTCCGTTTCTTTCGAGGTGCCGGGGAGTGGTGCAGCCGGCAAACATCCTGGCTGTCCCCTCCAGGCCCCCTTCTGGGAAGTGTAAAGGGCCCCAGAGAAGACCCAGCCCTGGCCCCAAAGAGCCCCCAGCCTGGAGGCCACAGACAGCCCTAGCCTGTGGGGTCAGGGCCTGGCCAGAGGGGGGCACTCAGGGCTGCCAAAGGGAGCGGTCAAGGAGGGCTTCCTGGAGGAGGGGGCATCAGAGGTGGGGTTTTGAGGGATGCCTAGGAGCCAGGCGGGAGGAAAGAATGTCACCATCTGATGGCCAGCAGGCAGCCTGGGGGCTGGGGGTGGCGTTGGCCGTGAGCTCATGGCTCTGGTCCTCCCCTCCCCCTCCCCCCCCTGTCAGTCAAGCTCATCCTCCCGGGAGCACCTCCACCAGCTTCCCTTCCAGCCCACGCCGGACGAGCTGCACTTCCTGTCCAAGCACTTCCGCAGCTCGGAGAGCGTGGCCGATGAGGACGGGGGCCGCTCCCCCCGCCTGCGGCCCCGGTCCCGCAGCCTCAGGTGGGCCTCGACCTCGGGCTGCCCTGGAGACCCAAACCGCCCCCACACCCTGCCTGTGACCCGGGCCTCTGACCTGGTGCCTCAGAGTCCCCTCCCCCGTCCCCCCTTCCCCCCTCACCAGGCTCAGTCTCAGGTCTCACCTGAAAACCAACCAACCCAGCCGGGCACGGTGGCTCACGCCTGTCATCCCAGCACTCTGGGAGGCCGAGGCGGGAGGATCGCTCGAGGTCAGGAGTTCGAGACCAGCCTGAGCAAGGGCGAAACTCCCATCTCTACTATAAATAGAAAGAAATTAATTGGCCGGCTAAAAACATATAGAAAAAATGAGCCGGGCATCGTGGTGCGTGCCTGTAGTCCCAGCTACCTGGGAGGCTGAGGCGGGAGGATCGCTCCAGGTCAGGAGTTCAAGACCAGCCTGAGCAAGAGCAAGACCCCCCCCCATCTCCACTAAAAATAGAAAGAAATTAATTGGCCAACTAAATATATATAGAAAAAATGAGCCGGGCATGGTGGCGCATGCCTGTAGTCCCAGCTGCTCGGGAGGCTGAGGCAGGAGGATCGCTTAGGCCCAGGAGTCGGAGGTTGCTGTGAGCGAGGCTAACACCACGGCACTCACTCTAGCCTGGGTGACAGAGCAAGACTCTGTCTCAAAAAATAAATAAATAAATAAGAAAATATTGTCAGTTATCGGTCGCCAGGAAGGAAGTAAAGTTAGAAAAAGATAAAAGTGTAAAATATAAATTAAAAATATAAAAAACAAGAAAATAAGAAAAGAAAACCAGCCAACCAGCCGTCCCCTTGCAGCCCGGGCCGCACGTCGGGGACCTTCGACAACGAGGTGGTCATGATGAATCACGTGTACCGCGAGCGGTTCCCCAAGGTGCGCGCCCGGCCCGGCCCCACCTCGCGCCGTCGGTCCGTCCGTCCGTGTCTGTCTTTCCCCGCCCGAGACCCGTCGGTCCACGGACGCCGTGCCCGCGCCCCCTCCCGCGCCACCCCCGCGTGCGCGTGCCGCCGCCCGCCGCCCTGACCCGGTCCCCGCCCGCAGGCCACGGCGCAGATGGAGGGCCGGCTGCGGGAGTTCCTGGCGGCCTACGCGCCCGGGGCGCGGCTGGCGCTGGCCGACGGCGTCCTGGGCTTCATCCACCACCAGATCGCCGAGCTGGCGCGCGACTGCCTGGCCAAGTCGGGCGAGGCCCTGGTCACCTCGCGCTACTTCCTGGAGATGCAGGAGAAGCTGGAGCGGCTGCTGCAGGACGTGCGTGGGGCGCGCGGGGCGCGGGGCGCGGGCGGGCCGAGCCGGGCCGTGGGTGACGCGGCCGTCTGCCTCCCCCAGGCGCGCGAGCGCTCGGACAGCGCCGAGGTCGGCTTCATCGTGCAGCTGGTGCGCAAGCTGCTCATCGTCATCGCGCGGACCGCGCGGCTGCTCGAGTGCCTGGTGGGTCCCTCTCGGCGGCGGGGCGGCGACAGCGCCCGCGCGGGTGCCCCCAACCCCGCCAGGGACAGCGCGCACGCGGGTGCCCCCACCCCCGCCGGGGACAGCGCGCACGCGGGTGCCCCCACCCCCGCCGGGGACAGCGCGCACGCGGGTGCCCCCGCCCCCCGCCCCCCACCCCCACCGGGGACAGTGCGCACGCGGGTCCCCCGTCTCCCAGCCCGCCCCGCGGCGACAGCGCACACGCGGGTGCCCCCAACCCCGCCGGCGACAACGTACATGCGGGTGACCCCGGGCTGGCGACAGCGCCCACGTGGGTTCCCACGCCGGCGACAGAGTGCACGCGGGTGTCCCCCTGGGCCTGCGACAGTGCCCGCGCGGGTGCCCCCACCCCCTCCAGGGACAGTGCCCACGCGGGTACCCCCACCCCCTCCGGTGACAGCGCGCACGCAGGTGTCCCCCCTGGGCTGGCGACGGTGCCCACGCAGGTGACCCCGGGCCGGATGGGCGTCCCCCGGGAAGGCACGGTAGCTGCAGCCGGTGGCAAGGACGGGGCAGGGCGGGGGTGGTGGGCGCAGAGGCGGGACCGGCCCGCGGGCTGACCAGAGCCCCTCGGCCCCCAGGAGTTCGACCCCGAGGAGTTCTACCACCTGCTGGAGGCGGCCGAGGGCCAGGCCCGCGAGGGCCACGGCATCAAGACGGACCTGCCCCGCTACATCATCGGGCAGCTGGGCCTGGCCAAGGACCCGCTCGAGGGTGAGCCGGTGGCGGCCGGGTTCCAGGCTGAGCCGGGCGACTCCAGGGCCCTGCCCTTGGCCGCCTGCCGGAAACGCCCAAGATTCCCGGGGTCGGGAGGTGGCTGCCAGCATCCCCAAATGCCGCCCCTAGATGGCCAGGGTGCCTGGGAGACCCATGGCCTTTCGAGAAGGTTCCTCGGGGGCTGCTTAGTCCAGCCTCCCGGGCTTGGCTGGGGAGACCCTGCATTTCCCGGCCCAGGACGAGCCCTTGCAGGATGACGGAGGGGAGGCCGGGAGGCCCCTTGCGAGGCTCTGCGCTTGTCTTGCAGAGATGGTACCACTGAGTCACCTTGACGAAGGACAGCCCCCAGACCCCGAGTCCCCAGAGGTACGTGGCAGGGCCCTGGGGCCCCACCTGTCTTGTTCTTTCTAGGCCCGACCAGGTGGCCACGGGGAGGGCTGGGCTTGCCAAGGTGTTGCATGCAGTAGGCACTTAATAAACACCTGTGGCTTTGGGGGCACCCTGGCAATGCCAGGCAGGACAGCCTCACGTTGGAGGTCGGGCGGGGCAGTGCCGGAGGGGGCACTGGCAAGGTGGGTTTTGAAGGACGTGTAGGAGTTTGCCGGGAGGAGGGCACAGCTTGAGCCAACAGCCTCAGGAACTCGGAAGCCGGGCTGGAGAAGTCCGCACAGGGGAAGCCGGGGCCGGCTCTGCCGTGGGCGGGACCCTGAGCCCTTCCTGTCCCCACCCCCACCCAGAGCCGTGCCCTGGTCGGCCAGTCGAGGAGGAAGCCATGTGAGAGCGACTTCGAAACCATCAAACTCATCAGCAACGGGGCCTACGGGTGAGTCTACCGTGGTCCGTGGGCCCATTTCTCAGAGGGGATGGCCGAGGCCCGGGCAGCCCTTTGGCCAACTCCGCCCCGGCACGGTTCACACGTTCTCAGCTGAACGTGCAGCCAGGGAGACTGATGAGTTTGGTGGCCGAACGCTTTATTTTTTTTTTGAGACAGAGTCTCGCTTTCTTGCCCGGGCTAGAGTGAGTGCCGTGGCGTCAGCCTCGCTCACAGCAACCTCAGATTCCTGGACTCAAACAATCCTCCTGCCTCGGCCTCCGAAGTAGCTGGGACTACAGGCATGCGCCACCACGCCCGGCTAATTTTTACATATATATATATATTTTTAGTTGGCCAATTAATTTATTTCTGTTTATAGTAGAGACGGGGTCTCGCTCTTGCTCAGGCTGGTCTCGAACTCCTGACCTCGAGCAGCGATCCTCCCGCCTCGGCCTCCCTGAGTGCTGGGATGACAGGCGTGAGCCACCGCGCTCCGCCGCCGGCCGCCGGCTTTTGAGCTGAGGGTCTCAGCCTGCGGTGGTGCAATGCACAACCCAGGCACATACCTGGGGCCGTTTGGGGCTCGTTTCTGTGGCACCAGGGGCCGCTGGGGCTGCTTTGGGGGAGCGCCGGGGAGGACACGTCAGGTCCCAGCAAGCGCCGCCCCCCCGCAGGGCCGTCTACCTGGTGCGGCACCAGGACACCCGGCAGCGCTTCGCCATGAAGAAGATCAACAAGCAGAACCTGATCTTGCGCAACCAGATCCAGCAGGTGTTCGTGGAGCGCGACATCCTCACCTTCGCGGAGAACCCCTTCGTGGTCGGCATGTTCTGCTCCTTCGAGACGCGCCGCCACCTGTGCATGGTCATGGAGTACGTGGAAGGTGCGGCGCCGGGGCCCGCGCCCCGTGGCTGGCGGGGAGCTCACGCCTCCGCGCCTGGGGGAAAGTCTCCCGGGACGGAGCCGAGGTCTGCGGGGTCCTCCGGGGAGAGCCCCCGAGCTGGTCGGGGAAGCCCGGGGGACCCCAGAGGGGGGCAGGGGGCCCTGCGGGGGGGGGGGCGATGGGGGGTCGTCTAGATGTGACTGCAGTTGGGAGCCTTGGGGGTAAGGGAGGGAGGGACGGCCCGGGCTCGGGGCTGAGGGGGGCCCAGGGCTGGGGGAGGGTCTAGACGGGACTGCAGATGGGAGCCTGAGGGGTAAGGGACAGAGGGACGGCACAGGCAGGGGGCCCAGCCACGGGGTGGCTCCGGGCAGAGGGTCAGGGAGCTGGGGGGGCTCGGGGCTGGGGCGTTCAGGGCTGAGGGTGCTGGGGCTGGGGGTGCTCGGGGCTGGGGGCACTCAGGGCTGGGGGTGCTCGGGGCTGGGGGCACTCAGGGCTGGGGGTGCTCGGCGCTGGGGGGTGCTCGGCGCTGGGCGGTGCTCGGCGCTGGGGGGTGCGGGGCTGGGGGGCTCGGCGCTGGGAGGGGGCTCGGGTCTGGGGGGGCCGGGGCTGGGGGGTGCTCAGCGCTGGGGGTGCTCGGCGCTGGGAGGGGGGCCCGGGGCTGGGGGTCCCGGGCTGGGGGGGTCTAGACGGAACTGCAGATGGGAGCCTGGGGGCACGGGAGGGAGGGTCCACCGAGGCAGGGGGCCGGCGGGCAGAGGCCTCTGCTGGCTGTGACTCGCCGCCCCGTCCCAGGCGGGGACTGCGCCACGCTCCTGAAGAACATGGGCCCGCTGCCGGTGGACATGGCCCGCATGTACTTCGCCGAGACGGTGCTGGCGCTCGAGTACCTGCACAACTACGGCATCGTGCACCGCGACCTCAAGCCCGACAAGTGAGCGGGGCGCGGGGGGGCGGGGCCACGGGGAGGGCGGGGCCGTGGGGAGGGCGGGGCTGCGGGGAGGGCGGGGCGCAGGGAGGGCGGGGCTGGGGGAGGGCGGGGCGCGGGGAGGGCGGGGCCGCGGGGAGGGCGGGGTGCAGCGGGTGGGGCGGGGCGCAGGGAGGCGGGCTGTGGGGAGGCGAGCCGTGGGGAGGGCGGCGGATGTGGGGAGGCGGGGCGCGGGGAGGGCGGGGCCGCGGGGAGGGCGGGGTGCAGCGGGTGGGGCGGGGCCCAGACAGGCTCGGGGGCGGGGCCTCCCGGCGGGCCAATCACCGCTCAGGAGCCCCTCCCGGCGGGAAGGCAGGGGGTGTGCGCGTGCGCAACACCTCGTGCGTGCAGAGAGGCGAGGACAGCGGGCACTTGCTAGGCCTCTCCCCCACGCAGGAGGAGGCCATGCTGCCCGTCAAGGGGGAGGGATGTGCACTTAAGGTGCGCCGACTGTCTGCAGGGGGCGGCTGTGCACTCAGCTGCTCCTGCACGAGGGGAGAGAACGTGCACTTAGGAGGCGCCGGCTGTGTGCAGGGAGTAGCGTCACACACTCTGCGAGACCTTGCATGTGAAGGAAGTGACTGTGCACGTCTTGAGCACCTGCTGTGTGCCAGGGCAGGGAAGAAAAGGAAGAGAACATGTTGGCTGGGAGCCTTAGGGTGGATTGAGTAAGCACCTACTGCATGCCAGACCCTCCATGGGTGACAGGGGAGACACAGGGCTGTCTGCTTTGTTAACCCCTCTGTGATTTTCAAAGCACTCACCCCTGCATTTGACGAGCACCTGCTGTGTACAGAAGAGGGGGTTGCCCATTGATTGAGCGCCCCCTGGATACACGGCAGGGACCGCACGCTTCTCAGACGCCTGCCGTGTGCAGACGTGAGCCCGAGCGTTAGGAGCCGTGCGTTGTGGTCGGGGCGTTTTGCAGTTTGCAAGTGGCTTAGAAAACGGACATGTATTTGGCCCCTGCTGCATACCTTGGCCTGTGCTGGGTCCTCCAAGGAACCCAGAGACAAGCATGAACAACTCCCCCCACATCGATGTTGGGTTTCTATGTCCCGGTCTTTCGGTCGGTGTGCATCTATCGGGCACCAGCTGTGTGCAAGGTGTGCAGACAGCTACTGCGCAGTGGCTGTGTGCCAGGCCCAGAGCGCTGGAGCCGGTTTATTCTGTGGTTAGCATGCATTGAGCACTTACGGCATGCCAGGCACCGGGGCACTTTTCACCGAGGGAGGTGCAGAGACCTGTGACCCTCTGGCCTTTGGGGGGTCGTCTTGGGGTGGGGGGGGCCCGGGAGCAAGGACGGGGCCTTCTGAGTGTCCTGGGTCAGACCCCGAGGCCACTCCTGCCTGTGCGGAGCGCAGGACGCGGTGGTCTGCGCCCGGCCCCGGCCATTCGGCGAGGAACAGACGACCCTGGTGGGGGCTCGGAAAAAAATATCTTTTTCCTTTTCACTTTGGGAAGTTTCAGATGCGCCCGAAAGTCAGGGGACAGGTGTGTGCGCTTGCTAGAGCCGCCCGTGAGAAGGGCCACTCGCCGGGTGGCCCGAACAGCAGAAAGGCATTTTTTCACGGTTCTAGAAGTCCGGGCACAAGACCCAGTCTGCAGGCCCACGGGAGGGGTGTGTGCCCATCCCTCTCCTGGCTCCTGGTGGCTTGGCTGGCCGTGTCCCCCGCACCCCTGGCCGCCCGCTCCCCGCCCCCCCCCATGTGCAGCAAATCCCAGGCATCGTGTCATTTTGTCTGCAAAAAAGGAAAAAAAAATTTTTTTCAATAGATTTAGTCAGCATTCAAGAAATAAATACCTTTTATTATTTATTTATTTATTTATTTGAGACAGAGTCTCGCTCTGTCGCCCAGGCTAGAGTGAGTGCCGTGGCGTCAGCCTCGCTCACGGCAACCTCAGACTCCTGGGCTCAAGCGATCCTCCTGCCTCAGCCTCCCGAGTAGCTGGGACTACAGGCATGCGCCTCCATGCCTGGCTAATTTTTTCTATATGCTTTTAGTTGGCCAATTGATTTCTTTGTATGTTTAGTAGAGACGGGGTCTCGCTCTTGCTCAGGCTGGTCTTGAACTCCTGAGCTCAAACAATCCTCCCGCCTCGGCCTCCCAGAGTGCCAGGATCACAGGCGTGAGCCGCCGCGCCCGGCCCCTATTTTATTATTATTATTATTTGTAGAGATAAGGTCCTGCTCTGTCGCCCAGGCTGCAGTGCAGTGGTGTGGTCATAGCTCCCTGCAGCCTGGGCTTGAGCAGTCCTTCTGCCTCAGCCCCCCAAGTCGCCGGGACCAGCAGCTGAATGTTTTGTTTTGTTTTGTTTTTTGAGACAGAGTCTCACTCTGTCACCCAGGCTAGAGTGAGTGCCGTGGTCAGCCACGCTCACAGCAACCTCAATCTCCGGGGCTCAGCGATCCTCCTGCCTCAGCCTCCCGAGTAGCTGGGACTACAGGCATGCGCCACCATGCCCTGCTAATTTTTTCTATATGCTTTTAGTTGGCCAATTGATTTCTTTGTATGTTTAGTAGAGACGGGGTCTCGCTCTTGCTCAGGCTGGTCTTGAACTCCTGAGCTCAAACAATCCGCCCGCCTCGGCCTCCCAGAGTGCCAGGATCACAGGCGTGAGCCACCACGCCCGGCCCGGCTGAATGTTTTTTAGACAGTGGAAGCCCCGTAGAAGCCCAAGAAATATTGGTGGTGGTAGCAGTGGAAGGCCCCAGGCCTGCTACGGCGAAGGCCTGCGTTTGGAAGTTGCTGGCAGCTACACAAGCCTGTGCACACAGCCGTTGCTCAAGATGCATTGCTTTAAAAAAAAAAAAAATGGTGGCTATGCATTTAGTTAAGTGCACAGAACTCTTTCTGTACACAGCTGAGGTAAGCAGCAGGTGCTAAATAAATGCTTCTTTAAACAATGGCTGTGCGTGACGGATGCTCCAGGAATTCGTGTTTGTGCAGCAGGTGAACTCAGGAGGTGCACGGAAATGCGGCTTCAGAAAGCTGGCCGTGTGATTCTGTCGCACAGCCGGACACCTAGGGCAGGGGTCCTCAAACTTCTCAAACGGGGGGCCGGTTCTCAGAGCGCGGGGCAGTGCGGCGCACACTCCACCCGAGCCCACGGCGGGCCTGGGTCTCGCTCTGTCACCCCAGGCTGGAGCGCAGAGGCCTCATCAGGGCTCGCTGCAGGCCTCCAACTCCTGGGCCCAAGCGATCCTCCTGCCTCGGCCTCCCGGGGTGCTCGGGTTACAGGCGTGAGCCGCCGCGCCTGTGCTTTCCGATCCCCTCCTGGGGTGGGGTCAGGCTGCCCTGGCCGGACCCCGGCCTGGCTCAGGGGGGGGAGTCAAGGTCAGGGCTGCAGGAGCGGCCAGGTGCCCCCGCCACACACACCTGGGCCCCCCGGCCCTGAGCGCGCCCCCCCTCCCTTCCCCCGCCTGCCCACAGCCTGCTCATCACCTCGCTCGGCCACATCAAGCTGACCGACTTCGGCCTGTCCAAGATCGGGCTCATGAGCATGGCCACCAACCTGTACGAGGGCCACATCGAGAAGGACGCCCGGGAGTTTGTGGACAAGCAGGTGGGCGGCCCCGGGCGTGCAGAGGCCTGCACCCCCCGCGTGTGCGTGTGCGTGTGTGTGGGGTCTTTATAATCCCACCCAGCCCTTCCTCCCAGGCTGGCCCCAGCCTCCCCATCCCTCCCGGGGGTCTCTCCCCCCGGGCGGGGCGTTGGGGGGAGGGGCCGGCCTCAGTTTCCCCATGCCACCCGGTGCAGGTGTGTGGGACCCCGGAGTACATCGCCCCCGAGGTCATCTTCCGCCAGGGCTACGGCAAGCCGGTGGACTGGTGGGCCATGGGCGTCATCCTGTACGAGTTCCTGGTGGGCTGCGTGCCCTTCTTCGGGGACACGCCCGAGGAGCTGTTCGGGCAGGTGGTCAGCGGTGAGTCGCCGCCCGGCCCTCGGGGCTCCCCCTGGCCCCCTGCTTTGCTCTCCGGGCGGGGAGAGACGCGGCAGGAAGAGGGAGGCGGTCGGGTGCTGGGGGGAGAGCAGCGAGGGCGGCCGTGTTAACGGGGGCGTGGAGACCCCACTGAGGGCACAGGTGGGGTCCGGTACGTAGGCGCAGGTGGGGCCCAGGTGGGGGGCTCCCTCAGGACCCTGGGGCCCAGGGAACGGAGGGAGGGGATAGGCCCTGACGTGGACGAGAGTTCTACTTGGGGAGCTACATGGGAGGAGGGGGCTTGGAGCTGGGGTTTTGAAGGGTGCATAGGAGTTCACAAGGAATAGCACAAGACCTTGAGGGCACGGCAGATAGCTCGGTCCGGTGCTCACAGGGGTCACTGAGGCCGGGTAAGTCTCAGACCTGCAGGGACGGGGGGAGCCGCAGAGAGGGAGGCGGGAAGGTGCCCCGGGCAGAGGGCACAGCCGGGGTGGAGGCTGGGAGGTGGGAGCCTGGGCTGTCGGGGGAGTGGACGAGGCCGACGGGAGTGAGCGAGCGGAGGTGACGGAAGGTGCTGGAAAGGGCTTCCCCTGCCTCCTCACTCCCTCCCCTCGCTTTAGATGAGATCATGTGGCCAGAGGGAGACGAGGCCCTTCCAGCTGACGCCCAAGACCTCATCACCAGGCTGCTCCGGCAGAGCCCGATGGACCGACTGGGGACCGGTACGTAGGCATAGGTGGGGCCCAGCGGGGGGGACCCCCGGGGCCCAGGGAAGAGAGGGCGGGATAGGCCCTGCCGCAGACAAGAGTTCTACCTGGGAAGCTACGTGGAGGAGGGGGCCTTGGAGCTGGGGTTCTGACGGATGCATAGGAGTTCACCAGGGATAGCACAAGACCTTGCTTGAGGGCACGGCCGATGGCTCCGTCCGGCGCTCACAGGGGCCACCGAGGCCGAGTAAGTCTGAGTAGTGACGGGGGAGCCCGCGGGAAGTCATCAAGGGCTGTGTCCAGAGGTCCTCCAAGGCCGGCCCTCCAGGTTTCTGGCCTCCTGGCAGATAGCTGAGGGACTGTTTGAGACGCACGCGGCCACGCGCTAGGCAGCCACCGGGGGTCACGTTGGTGTCTGAGGCAAGAGTAGGTGGGGGGCCGGGGTTGGGGACCAGCCACCTGCCGCCCGGTGGGGTGGAAGCGCCGGAGAAGGGCCCGGGAGGGAAGCGGCCGCCGGTGCCCCTGGGGCTCTTCCCCCCCGTGGGGGGCGCTGGGGGGGCAGGGCGGCCGGGGCTCAGCCGGGCGTGTCCGCAGGCGGCACCCACGAGGTGAAGCAGCACCCCTTCTTCCTGGCCCTGGACTGGGCGGGGCTCCTGCGGCACAAGGCGGAGTTCGTGCCCCAGCTGGAGGCCGAGGACGACACCAGCTACTTCGACAGTAAGCGGCCGCGGGCGGGAGACAGACACGGGCAGCGCGCGTGGGGCCCCGGCCCCGGGGCGGAGGCACCGTCTGGGAGCGTCCCGAGTCCCCAGCGCTTCCGGGGATCGCGGGCAGGTCTGGCCGCTGTGGGTCCCAGAAGGGGAAACCGAGGCAGCGGATGTGGCAGACCCTCCCCTGATGCTGCAGGTGGCCCAGCCCTGACCAGGCACGAGCCCGGTCACCCGGGAGAGTCTGGGCCGCCCCCGAGATCAGCTTTCGGGGCAGGGTCCTGGCAGGGCTGGGGTCACCGGGCTCCCGTGACCCCTGGTCCCCCCGGGGGTGAGGCCCGAGCGTTCTGGTGCCTCCTGCAGAGCTTGCCGCTCGCTGGAGGCCTTCCGTTTTGTTGTGTTTTTTTTTTTTTTTTGGAGACAGAGTCTGACTCTCTGTCGTCCGGGCTAGAGTGAGTGCCGTGGCGTCAGCCTCGCTCACAGCAACCTCAAACTCCTGGGCTCAAACAATCCTCCTGCCTCAGCCTCCACCAGAGTAGCTGGGACTACAGGCATGCACCACCGTGCCTGGCTCATTTTTTCTATATATATTAGTTGGCCAATTAATTTCTTTCTATTTTGAGTAGAGACGGGGTCTCGCTCTTGCTCTGGTCTCAAACTCCTGACCTTGAGCAATCCTCCCGCCTCGGCCTCCCAGAGTGCCAGGATCCCAGGCGTGAGCCACCGCGCAGGGCCTGGAGGTCCTCTCTGAGCTTCTGTGTCCTTCCCCGTAAGAGGGGACATCCCTCACGATTGGGGTGCAGTCGCGCCTCACTCTGCGGCACCGGTTCAGGCATTCGCGGAGGCGCAGAGACCAGAACCGCCCGCGCCCGCGGTCCCCCGCGCTTGGGGACGGACGACACCGGCTGGCATTTATTCCCAGACACCTGCTCCGCCTGCCCCGTCCCTGCACACAGCAGGCCCCGCCCCGCCCTTGGGCACTGCGGCGCCGCCACCCCGGGGCCACTCGGGCGTCGTGGGGGACCCCGGCACACACCTGTCCCGCTTCCGTCCCGCAGCGCGCTCGGAACGCTACCGCCACCTGGGCTCCGAGGAGGACGAGACCAACGACGAGGAGTCGTCCACGGAGATCCCGCAGTTCTCGTCCTGCTCGCACCGCTTCAGCAAGGTGAGCCGCCGGCCCGCCACCTGCGCGCCCGGGACGGGACTTGCGCCCGCCGAGCCAACGGTTGCTCGGTTTCGCGCGCGCGGATGCTCCGGTTCGGGGCGGCGCGGTTTGCTCGGATTTTTTTCCCGGACGCGAGTTGGCTTTCGGTTTCCCGGCTCCGGCGGTTGCTGCGGTTTTCCGGCGGCGCGGTCATGGCTCGGTCCGGCGGCGCGTGCTCCGGTTCGCCGGCGCGAGGTGCCTCGGTTTTTTCCCGGCGCGCGGCGGCCAGCGCGTTCCTT